AAGCTTGACATATCTTAAAAGAGGTTGTCTCGGAGTAGAAGACCACACACAACTGAGTCATATCAGTGGCACTCCCTGTCTGTCCTGAGGGCAGGGTAGATTGAGAGAGAGATTATGGCGACTGTATGTTAGTCCTCAGTATTTTTCTATGAATGAGCACCATCAGCACATCTGATTCTGCCATTCTTTAGCCGTCAGGTCATGTGAGAGCGTGAGAGAGACACGGAAATGTGAGCGATTTTGTGTACATAACCTAAAACTGATACAGTAGGGTTCTGCAAACAAGAAGTTCATATTGAGTAACGTGTGTTTATATAACGTTGTGTATATATATATATTTTTTTATTCCAAAAGAAGCCAGAGCATCAAGATTTGTGTGTCACACACACTGAAAAATATGGTTTTTGAAGTTGTAAATAAAGATTATTGACATATGTTTTACATGAAAATATTATTTATTTAAGTTTTATCTACTTAACATTTTCTCATTTAATTCAATATGTTACTTGCCATTTCTTTGCGATTATTTGTGACATTTACTAGCAATTCCTGAGTGAAAATTGTTTCTACAAATTTTTTTTCTTTCAGTGAAGACTGCAACAAGATACTGGCCACTCACAAATTAACTGTTGTATAATCAGATTCTTTACCTAACATATTGAAAATTATGGCGCATAAATCATTAATTATATATTGTACCATCATTTTTAATGTGGATACAAGATATATTGGTAATATATTTGTCACTGGTCAATATTGGATGGTTAATTTTACATAAATTATTTTGTCATCATCATCCAGTGCTCACTTAATGTTAAACTTTAAAACATGAAAAATGTTTTAAAACACTGTTATTTAATCTTTAGCTAATCGCAAAATTGCATGGTTCTTTTTCATACTGTATTGCAGAATGTTGTGATACCAAATTTACTTGTAGCATTTAAAGCTATTTACGGTAATTTACGGTATTCTGATGTGCAGTGCTTCCATTTATATTCAATTTATTTATTATTTGAATTTTTTATTTTGATTCATAATTCATAATGGGCAAAATACACCAGATCCAGTGGCCACTGTTGGGCATGGTTTTGTAAATATATGTCAGTACATGACAGAACGTCATTGAGAGGGTGTGTATAAGAAATGGTGGGTGGGAGACTAGACTACTGTAGCACAATAAGCACACCATGGACTGGTGTCGAATGTCACACCTGGATTAGAGTTTTGGGAATCAGCTCTGGGATGTGTCATATCCACAATCCGCTCTGATTCCTCACAGTATGAGTCAAACACATCGCAGTCTCAGAAGCTGACAGAGGCGCTGGGTCCTTTAGGCAGGGACTTTAGGTGGGGGTAGGTGATGATTCTGAAGAAAACGATCTACTCCATCTATGTTTTGATCATCGTTCTGAATCCAATCCAGACATAGTCTTTGACACAAACATGGTTTTTTTTCCAGCTCTTTGTTCAAAACGATGCTTTTTTATGGAACTTTACCACATTCAGGTGTTAATAAAAAAAGAATGCATGCAGCTATGGACCTTATGTAGCTCTGCCCGAACGAACGGTCGAACGAATTTACGAATGAACCACTCATTTTAAAATCTTGCTACTGACATTTGTTATGATATCTACTTCGAACATTACAATGCTCATGAAAACTTTCGTTAACTCTACAATAAGTAAATCCACCTCACCAGCTAATTACTCTTCCAATCCGCATAGGAACCCTGCTGTTGAAAAGTATAGAAAAAAGAAAGCAGAGTATGGAAAAATATTTGCCCCTATTTAGTTTTTTATAATAGAAAATGAAGAATGATGAAAATAATAAGTAAAATAATAAGTGTATTTTCATGGCAGCTGTTTAATGAATCAATTGTGATTGTCAGACACGACCGAATGAATTCAAGGTGCACTTTTTCATTATGCAAAATGCAGGTTATAAATGCTTTGAGTTTCTTCTCACAATATTCTTAGCACCGTATTACATAGCCTCAAGGATCTTTGCAAAAATAAAAAATACACAGACTTTTTTGTGCGCACGAGAAACCATTAAACATAACATATAGGATAATCCACATGAGCCCCCTATTGCACCATCAGCCCATTTCGTGGTGCGGTTTCTTGGCTACCATAGAATATGCATTAAAGAGACCTGAGGCCTTGAAATATGACATACTGCCCTAACGAAAGACAGTTTCCTGTGTGCATGCAAAAGTCTGTATTTTTGCGATATCGCCTAGCTTGTCAGTGAACTACGGCTCTGTGTATTAAATACCGCTCCATCTGAAAGCAGGTGATGGAGATTTACTACCAATCACAGGACCGCCTTTACTGACGAGATGCGCATGACAATCGCATGCGATTGAGTCCAGGTTCATACATAATTGCAGTCCAAGTACCCCATTTCTACTGGGTGTTTGCTTACTGCCACGAGTCAAGAGCCCACCTCTGGTCTTAAATATGCCTCAGGTTCTTTCAGATGTAAATTTCTAAGATTTTTCATGTAGTGTTATATGGGTGTGTCCTTGCAATTGTGTGATTGACCTCACCCTTTAAAACACCTCTTGTGTCTTCATGCAAGTATGCATTAGTAAAACTCACTAACTGTAATTGTTTGGACCGCGACCAAAATCAGTAAGGTGTAAAGCTGATCTTGAATGATATCTCACCTAATCTGTTATAATCTGCTATGTTTTATTGCTTTTTTTTGTTGTTTAAATTGCAGTACAGTGTATGGACGTACTAAAGTGGGTGTGTAAATATGATTCTTTAGCTCACTAGACTGGGAGCTTGAGAAAACACCCACACCCAGTGTTCACGCAGACACTTGCTATCGTTCACCTGCAGGGCAGCGTGTTGCATTTTATGCATTTTGACAGGTTTTTGACTTGGTTACACCCAGCTAGGTGTGTCCTGATGCCATTGCCATAGTGAAGGGAGTTAAACTCGCAGGACCTTTATATGCGAAGAAAAACTAGCTAAATAAATAATTCTAAACTCTAAAGAACCATTTCAGTAATGTGTATAGTAACACACGAAAAGACTATTTGTGTCAGCATGAGGCATATTTTGGCACGAATAAACAACCACAGGTTTTGCAAACCAACAGACATCTGCTTAGTATTGCTGTTCAGTTTATTTTGCTAAAAAACTCTGTTCTTAGTGGCAGCGCAGCCACACACACCACATATGTGCGTGTGTTCACCCTCTATTCGAGTGTCGACATGCAAGGCATCCAAAATATGTTCAGTCTGTTCTCATGATGTTCTGTAAAGTACAGCACATGTCTAAAATGGAACTTTCATTTCATTACACGATTGTTTGTTGGGCTGTGGTCAGGCATTCCTGCTGGTTGGGGAGTGTCTACCCTCTGATCACGTGCATTTTGAAAAGTTTATTGGAATGAATCCATCAAACCACTTCACTGTGCATTTAGGTGCTTGGTTAATTCATACTAATGTATTATAATTCAACTGTGGCATTACTTGCACAAAGACTTTGCTGGTGCTCTTTGGCTGCTCTAATCAACCAATCAGGTTGTTATGTCCTGAGGCCTGTCCTTGATCAGTCCCTCCTCTTTTGGGAATATAACCAGAATAGAACAGCTGTCATGAGTGCTGGGATGCTCAGATCAGATCTTATTTGCTTATTGGAAACAAAAAAAAATAAAGTGTGTTTGTGCTTTAGTTTTTTTTAAATATATATTTTTAATATTTTTATATTAAAGAACAGAGTTTGGCTTTTTATTCACTTAATCAGAAAATAAACATTATTTGTTATAGATAAAAATAACAATATAATTATATATATATATATGTTTTTTTTAAATGTTGAACATAAATGTAAGAATTTTTAGACACTTAGACTTTATCATAGATAAATAAATATATAACAATATATTAATAAATATATGACATTTATTTTTAATGCTGAACATAAAGTTAGGCTTTTTATCAACTTAATTGGAAATTAATAAACTTTATTACGTATATAATAAATGTATTTATTTATTGGTAAAAATTTTATGTGGGATTAATAGACTATCAAAATCATTATTAGTTGATCATTGAGTATGTTGATCTGTCTTCTCTGGGGTATTGGTCATCTCTTGGTCATTTTATGCATTTAGAGCTATCCATTCATGAAAAGACCACATGCAAATGCCCTTCAAGAAGCTTTCTAGATCTGATCAAACTACCTCAGTAGGTTGTTTGAGGTGCATACAAGACCTGACTCGATCAAGAGTAAAAGAGTTCAACTCCTCCCAAGCTGATATTTGCATATAACACAGGAATAGTAGATCTGATGATTTATGTTTGCTTTATGGGTGCACATTTATGTGGCCAAGTGTTAATGGAATGTTTATATTAAATCGGATAGCAGTCTGTTCAATGAAAAAGCAAATCTCCTCTTCTCTTCTGGAGTTCAAAGGTTTTGGTTAGACACAGTCAGAATGTGCTATAAAAAGAGCAAGAGAAATGGAAGATGTACTGTAGATTACCTGAAGGTGGGGAAGGGAGAAATAATTGATAACGTATGAAGAGGAGTTCAAGTGAAAGTAAATCGACACTACAAGGTGCAGATAAATGTGAAAGGAGAAAAAGTTATGGCAGCCAAATACATTTGGTCTGATCTTGCTTATTTTGAGAACAAGGTTTTATTATTGCTTTGCTTTAAGTTATGAATGGATTTTAAGAAACAATACTGCTCCAATATTGAGCTGTTGTCTGAAATGGACAGTGTAGTTGTGTGTTTAAGTGTGTGTAGGGGTGTGTAAATGTTGAAACACGCCGAGCCGGTTTTGTGAGGTTGTTGTGCTTTCAATCAAGCATTATATCATACGCCTTGTTTGAGACGCCAAGGGTTTTTCATCTTGTTGATCAAGAACAGATTGCAGCAGGACTTAATTAAATTTTTAACAAGCTTTGGCTGCTGTTTTGCACAAATACGTTTTAATATTTCTGATTAATATATATGATCGTTTTGTTGTTTTGCAGGTTTTACTTTTGGACTGTTTGGTTTGAGTCCAGGAGGCCAAAATGGAAATACACTGTAAGTACTTGCAATTGTTACAACAGGGTTCGACACTGCCAGATGGCCCGGGGCCAGCGTGAAAGACGCTCGGGACAGTTGACGAGTGTGTCGCTGGCCTGATCGGGCCACTGCTGCGTCGTCACGAAAGTTTATCATTTGCACATGTTTTTAAGCCCTTCAAAAAAAAAAAAATATATATATTTTTTTAAAGCATTTTAGCAAGATGCAAAAGACAACTCCATTCAGTACTCATGCGCTGTGTACAGTGTGTATTCTTGCACTTGAACAGACAAATACATACAAAAGTAGGTCAAAATACCCGTCTAGGCAAGTAACTTTGTAGCTTTATCAATGATTAATCGATATTTAAATTCTACAGTGGAGCACAGATGCACCCGTCGACTGGCCATTTTTTGTTTTATTTCAGCCGATCTCTGTTCCCGCCTTGCACACAATCTACATTGTGTGGAAATATTACAAATGTGTAAGAGGTGTGAAGACGAACCCAAAGAGGAGAAAATACTGTAGAAGACAGAAAAAAGTCACTGTTCATGATGCACGAAATATTGGAAGAAAAACCTAAATATTGAACTGAGGGTTTATATGAATGTGTTTCTGAGGGGAACTGACAGTCTTCAGAAAAGTTTACATGCCGCTTTCTTTTCATTTGCCTCTCTATAATGCATTTAATATAGTGTTAATAAGTGAAGTGCTGCTTTGTTTACAGCGGTGACCAAGGAAAAGCTGTATCACTGCTGTTCCATAAGCGCCACCTGCTGTCAGAGAGTGAATCTGTCTCATTCAGCCCGTTTTTCATAAAGCATAATTTCATTTGTGTCTTTGTTCTTTATATTCAGTTGTGCTATTGCTTGTAATTTGTTCATTTGTTCTTATTTACTGACTGTTCACTTGTCTTTAACAATTTTTTAACTTTATATTTTTTAGGCTAGTCGTTTTTTCTCTGGTATCGAAATTGGAATCGGGAATTGTATAATTTAATTGGTATCTAAAATGTTGGTGTCATATAAGCTTATTTATCAGAATAAAAGATAACATGGGTCAAAAACAATGATAACAGCGACTATTTTATTTTTTTATGCCAGGGCCAGTGAAAACATTGGTAGGGCAAGTAAAAATGTGAATCACTGGTCTGACTGGGCCAATAGAAAAAATCCTTAGCGTTGAGCCCTGTACAATATTAGTCTGTACAATGCACATAATCCAATTAACATTTTCATATCATGAATGATAACCACTAAATGGCAAAGAGTAAAAGTTATTTATATTTACCATTTTATGTAAAAGAGAAAATTAAATAAATAATACTAAAAGCTTAATCTTTAAATGCTATAAGTGAATTAGGCATCACAACATTATAATGGATACTCATTTTGACATTTGAGGTTGATTTAATTTATTTTAATGTCTTTATTTATATATTAATGATTTAAAGATGAACTTTGAGTGTTAGTTGATGGAAAAAAGTGTGTGAAAAAACAAGGGAAAAGAGCCTGCACAACTAAATATCTAATATCCAGTATCGACCGATACTGATATAAATCTCTAATATTTTCTAATAATTGATATAGTATTAATACATTGGGCATCCCTAATAAAAATCCCAATCAATTAAATAGTTCTTTCAAATTAAAGGAAAGGAGTTTTCTGCTTTGTAATTCATGTTTATTAGCTTTGAGGCCATCTCTCTACTGATTTCCATGTTTCATGATGCTTTGTGTGATTGTATGAGTAACATCAGTGGGTGTTTTATATGGTTTTGATGCAAATAGATCAACTCAAACTCTTGTTGTGTATGTGTGTATCAGTGGCAGAGGCCCCAGGCGCGGTGAAGGTCACAGAATGGCAACAGTCGTATTACGGGACAGATTCAGGCATCCAGTCAGGAGCCACTACAGTTCGCTCAGATAAAGATGGAACAGAGTACAGCACCAAGAAGTTCAGCTACTCCACCACATTCTCAGAGAACCCTGCAGGTGAAGAACATATCATATACTAGGGCTGCACGATAATGGTTAAACGGTTCATCAGGATTATTTCGATCAAAAATATGATCACGATTATTAAGCATGATTGTTATCATTTAACATTTTTACATTTCATCAAAATTATTGCACTTTCACATAAGCAAGAGAACAAGATGTAGTCACAGTAAACAGTGCAAAGAATCGCATGAAAGAACACAGACTGGCTCTATTACACTTTTATTTAAGCAGAATATCTCAGTAGAGATTTCTAAACTCTGACTTAAATGTTTGCCGGTGTTTTCAGCTCATCAGCACTTTTTCCGTAATGTAGAGAGAGCGTGTGCACATGGTTGCCAGTTTGGGAAGATTCAGTAAACCACTGGGCAGATTTAAGAAAAAAGCTCTGATTGAAGGATTTGAAATCTGGCAACTGCAACCATGAAAGCTTGTTTGAAAGTTTAGTGTTTAATTCTCTATGTGTCACTCTCTCCTATAGACGTGGAGTCTCAGTATAATATGACTCGTGCCCAGCGTGTGAGGGCGGCCATGTTTCCTGAGACAGTGATGGAGGGAACGGCCATCCTTTCCACACAGATGGATCCGTCCCAGCAGACCAATGTACAGAAGCTGGCCGAACCGTCTCAGCAGCTCAAAGCCGCCATCATTCATCTCATCAACTACCAGGACGATGCCGAACTCGCCACACGCGCCATTCCAGAGCTCACCAAACTCCTCAACGACGAAGACCAGGTACCTCGCTGCTCGTATTAAACATTCAGTCTCTGCTTTTTATAAAAATCACCGAAAAACACACAAGCACAGTAACGTCATGTCCTGACCTTTGAACCCTCTCTCTTGACTTCAGGTCGTGGTGAATAAGGCAGCTATGATCGTGAACCAGCTGACCTGCAAGGAGGCGTCCCGTCGGGCTCTGATGCAGTCCCCGCAGATGGTGGCCGCTGTTGTGAGAGCCATGCAGAACACGTCCAACATGGAGACGACCCGCGCCACAGCCAGCATCCTGCACAACCTTTCGCACCAGCGCGAGGGGCTGCTCGCCATCTTTAAATCAGGAGGCATTCCAGCTCTGGTGCGCTTGCTGAGGTGAGAGAGTCATACTGAAGTAAAGGACGAGTTCACCTGAAAATCTGATTATTATTATTGTGATTTATTCACCCTCATGTCATTTGTACAGCATAATTATTTCAAAATGTTCATTTTGAGGGGAAAATATTTCTTTAAAAATAAAAACATGATTTATAAAACTTCCATATTTCGTATATGTTTCACCCTAAACTGATGCTATATTAATTCATGCATTTATTGCACATAAAAGATTTCCCTTATTTGATTGCACGCATTCCATTGCAGATGGGTGATTCAGGGTTTTATTTACATTATTTGGAACATAGATATTCCTAATTATTAGGAAATTACTCCAGCACTTGATTTAAAATTGGATGGTGGTTTATGTTTCAGTAAGCTGCAAAAAGCAGTTTAAAAAGTCATAAATTAGTGTGTGCTAAATTCTTTAAGATATTCTGCCTAAGACTTCCTTTTGTATTTCATTGATGAAATAAAAAAGGAAACCTAATTTGAACAACATTATGGATAAACTATTACTTTAAAAATGAAAATAAAAACTTCGTTCATAAAACTTGTATGTCGTATTTGTGTCACCTTAAATTAAAGCCATTTTAATTAATGAATTTATTGCACATAACAGATTTCTCTCATTTGATTGGACACATTTCATTGCAAATGTGTGATTCAATGTTTTATTTACATTATTTGGAACGTAGATATTTCTAAATTACTAGAAAATTTCTCCAGGACTTCAATTGAAAGTAGATGGTGATTTAATTTATTCTTCGATACGCTGCAAAAAAACATTTAAAAAGTTGTAAAAAAAAAAAAAAGATGATGAAATAAAGTACTTCTTAGTTGGAACAACTTCTGACAAAAAAATTCCTTTTTTTTTTATAAACTCTTACTTAAAAATAAAAACAATTAATCATAAAACTATTTTTTTTGTAAATAAAATAATGTTTTATTTACATTATTTGGAACGTAGATATTTCTAAATTACTAGAAAATTTCTCCAGGACTTCAATTGAAAGTAGATGGTGATTTAATTTATTCTTCGATACGCTGCAAAAAAACATTTAAAAAATTGTAAAAAAAAAAAAAAATGATGAAAAAAAGGACTTCTTAATTTGAAAAACTTTTGACAAAAAAATTCCTTTTTTTTTTATAAACTCTTACTTAAAAATAAAAACAATTAATAAAGATTGTATTTTTTTTGTAAATAAAATAATGTTTTATTTACAATATTATTCATTTTTTAAGAAATTACTCCAGCAGTTGATCTGAACTATCCAACCCATTTCTTTTGTAGTTCTCCAATGGATTCAGTTCTTTTCTATGCCATCACCACCCTGCACAACCTGCTTCTGCATCAGGAGGGAGCCAAGATGGCGGTGCGTCTGGCTGATGGTCTGCAGAGGATGGTTCCCCTGCTGAAGAAAACCAACCCCAAGTTCCTGGCCATCACCACAGACTGCCTACAGCTGCTTTCCTATGGCAACCAGGAGAGCAAGGTGTTTATTTCATTATTAAAAAAAATACAAAAATGTATTAGTTTTTGAAGTTCTGTTTCTCGTGTTCTTGTTCTTTGTTAAGGATTGTAGAGTTTTCATTGAAGTTTGATGGTGTGTCGTGTTAACATCTGTCTGATTGTCTCCCAGCTGATTATCCTGGCTAACGGTGGCCATGAGGGTCTAGTGAGTATCATGAGGACTTACAACTATGAGAAGCTGCTCTGGACCACTAGCCGTGTGCTCAAAGTGCTCTCTGTCTGTCCTAGTAACAAACCTGCTATTGTGGATGCTGGTAAGTCAAATTAGAACCCCTCTTCTAAATATTGCTAAGGCAGCCATCACACTTACTTTTAATTATACTAATCCACTATGGACATCAGTGATAGATGTTTTATCAAATTCTGGACGTGCAAGTGGCAGGTGTTCAATAAAACAATAAAAAAAATGCATTATTTCAACAACAGTCGTGTGTTTATGTGAATGATTGCTGTTTTGAAACATTGACTTTGACATCTGAAATAAAGACACTGTATCTCTCCAATGAAATTGCATACATTTTTTTATGTTTATGAAATTTTATTTTTAATAAGTCTATATAGTTTTTTATTAAATTTCAGTTTTAGTTATTTTGATACATCAAGTTAAATTGAAATGAAAAATATTGCTTTGGCATCTAGGTGAAATAATGTATATATATATTTTTTTTTTATTAGTTTTTTTTTCTCAGTTAATGTTTATTTTATTAAAAGTAAGGAAAATCTTTCTTTATAGTTTTAGTTAACTAAAATAACACTGCCACCCACAAATGTATCTAAAATGTTCTCTCTCTCAGGTGGAATGCAAGCTCTTGGTAAGCATCTGAACGGCTCTAGTCAACGTCTGAATCAAAACTGCCTGTGGACCTTGAGAAACTTGTCAGACGCTGCAACCAAACAGGTCAATATCTAACATCCAACACATCTTTCACACACCCAAGTGGGCCTTCTTTTAAGTAATGTAGATTTATTCTAAATTAACATGCTGAAAAAATAAGGCAAAAAAATAAAGATGGACTGAATTTTGCCTACTTTGTCCTTCACTAAATTCTGTTTGTGTTAAAGGTGTAGTTTACTCATGTAGTTTCGGTGAATTGTGGTTTATTCATTTAATGGGCCAGTCGTTAAGGTAAGTGAAAGAAAAACAGAAAACTGGCTAATTAATACCTTAGTGAGAAAAATGTTTCCTTTTTCTAAATCTTTTTTTAAAAAAGAAAATACATATCATTGATCAAATCAATTAAAGGTACACTAATAAAAAAAAGTTTCATTTGATTTTGTTTTATTTTACTATGCAGTGGTTTTGGACTTTATACTGACACCTATTGGTGTGGATGAAGCATTACACAACCGAGTGTCCAAAAATAGGCAGGTTATGGAGAGTGAGGAAGTAAAATTCAAGTTTTGGTGTTTCAATTTAACTTTTTTTTTTTTTGGAAACAATTGTGAGCGGTCCATATGTAGAATAAAACGACTTTTATTAGGCCACAGATTGTACAACTTAAAATTTTCTAGGTTTATTAATTTTGTAAAAGGGCCGTTGCTTAAATTTACTGGGCCCAGAACAATATTTTATCAGCGGTCTCTGTCTCAATGCGTAGTTTATACCATAGAGGGCCTTATTGGGCCTCCTGTTTCCAGCAGACTGCAGAGAGACAGACACTCGGTCTGTCCGACACCTCCCACCTGCCTCTGCTTACACAGCTTACTGTACACCTCACACAGCTGGAGAAACACAAATAAGGTTATCAGCCCCAGAATGACTTCTCACATCTTCCTCAATGTATTCTGAACACTGAAATCACAGGGTTCGGCCTTGAATATTAGGCATATTTCTTATTTATTTATTTAACATAACACTCATGCACAAATATTTAAAAGAACAACATATGACTTGAATTGACGCAGAGCAATAAAGCATATACAAAACCAGAATACAAAACTGTGATAGTCTACTAAAATAGCTAGGCCTAAACAAATAGATACAATTAAAAAGAAATATGAACAGAAAAACAAAAAAAAAAGATTTCGCAGCAAGGGTTACCTCCTGATTTCCTGATGCTGACATTTTTTATGTTTAATTATTATTTTTTTTGTTTTAGATGTTTCTGTTAGGTTCTTATTTGCATCAGTACAGCTGTTTTAGCAGCTTTCTTATTAAAGAAGAATAAAAATACACGATTGTCCTTTTGTCTGATATGCATAATCATCAATAATCAATAAAGTGCTACACATTTTCTCACTGAATAAAAACTGGTTGCTGTAAGGAATGTGCACATCAAGCTTCATGTTAATTGGAGTTGTCTGCTCTCGCATTGCTGTGCCGCTGTCAACTGAGACAATATTGAAAGGTGCATTTCTAGGCAGCACAGGAATATTGCACAGTGTTGTCTGGTCTAGAGGTTACAGCATTCTGGAGTGGTTTGAATAGGAGATCATGTAGGTGTTTATAGAGTTGCCCTATGAACGATGTCACATTTTTAGATGTATTTGAAGGTGTAATTAATGTTTGTGTGGCAAACACGTTTGTGTACGCATGTACGTATTTGTGTGTGTATGTGTTTATATGTCAGCTCTTTGTGGTCCTTCTCTTCTCTGAACACAGTGTTCATCTTCCTCCAACAGGAGGCAGTGGAGGAGCACCTCTCACTAAAGCTGGAGAACGAAAGATAAAGAGGACATGAGGAAATGTGTACAACAAAATCTGTAAAGGTTTATCTCTATGGATAGGTCAAAGTTAAAAGTAAGGTCTTTACTCTTGTTGATTTGGCTGGGATAGCTCTTCTGGAAGGGTCTGTATTCTTCAGGCGGGGGAAGGTCCTCTATAGGGTGGAAGTCATACCTGGACTCAAAATCATCTGAGAAGAGACATCAAACATTTATCAATCAACGACAAAACTATTTTATGCACTACCTAGTGGACAAGTAGCTTTGCATATGCTGATGTTTAACTACCATGTCAAGATTAGCACATTAATTTAATTTAGGATGTGGCTGTTAGAACAACTTTTCACAAATGTTTTTGCTAGTTCTTCATATGAAACCTGTGATAATCTGAAAAATAATTATATTAGAAAATAATATTATTCATCTATTCCACAGTCGTTTGTAGATTAAAGCTTCATTAAATATTTAAAGAAATACATAAAATATACATACATTACATTATGTAATGTATGTATATTTAAATACATTAAATAAACAATGTACACAAAAAAACAATCTAAATGGTGCAAGTATTTGTTAAAAAATACAATAAAAACAGGAATGTTGTGAAATGGAATTGTAATTAAAATAACTTTTTAATTGAAATATATATATATATATTAAATTCCCCAGCAATTTTCAGCATCATTACTCCAGTCTTTAGTGTCAAATGATCCTTCAGAATTCATTCTGATATGCTGATTTGCTGCTCAAGAAACATTTCTTTTTATTATCAATGTTGAAAACAGTTGTGCTGCTTATTTTGTATTTATTTATTTATTTTTGTGGAAATTGTGATACACAACCATTCAAAAGTTTGGGGGTATGTAACATAAAAAAAAGATAGAGAAATTAATATTTTTATTCATCAAGGATCAAAGGTGACAGTAAAGACATTTAATGTTACAAAAAAATTCTATTATTTTGTAACATTTAATAGGTTTAGAAAAAAAAAAGTAATTTAAGAGAACTTAAAACAAGGGATGCATGATTTGGTAAAAAAAATTATTTTGTCATATATTGCAATTTCAATTGCTAAATGCACATTCAGAGTTGGAGTTTGTGTGGAGCAGCACTGAGTGTGAACGGAGCCACATGGAGACACTGAAAACACTGGATCATGTGCTGCTCATGTGTAAATGAACACAGACTCGCTCTGAAACACGCAACGCAACGGACTAAATTACATTTACATGAAATGATGACCTTATTTTTCAGAACTACTTATCTGGCATTACATCTGTGTTCTAAGAAGGCTTTGTTGACGGGTGTAATGAGGAAATAAGTGGGCCGCATTTGAATTACTGAGAGCTCATTTGACTTCAGGGTTATTTTCATGTGCTGATGCACAATAGACTACAGGTCCACAACCAAAATCAAAGTTCTGATCTAAGAGCACTTCCCACACATAAACAAATGAGCAACTAAGAGAATGAACTGAGATTGCATTATCTGTTTGATGAATATGGTGGAACTCACCAGAAAAGGACTTGGGGGCAGATGACGTATGTCCATTCCGGAGAGGTGGAGGAGGAGGAGGTGCATGTCCTGAAGACTGGCGTCCAGTAGAGGAGGGAGGAGGGGGCTTCCCTCGACTAGGGGGTTCAGAAGATGTTTGTGGCCCGCCGCGGTAAGGGGGTGGAGGGGGTGGCGTTTCCCGAACCCCGTTACGAGATGTAGGAGGAGGAACCTGAGGAGCTGAATGAAAACTTCATTTTAAAAGAGGTCTACATTTACTATATTCTTCAACAAGCCTTCTCTCGATATTTTAGCCCAACAAATTTTACGCATTGCTACTTTAAGAATAGTTTTTTTTACGTCTTGTAGACTATCCATTTTGTGTGCATTAAATTAGAGATGCACCGATTGCAATTTTCTTGGCCGATTCCGATTTCTCGTTAGTGTGATCTGCCGATACCGATTTTTGCCGATTCCGATTTTCTTTCTAAGAACTATAATTGACAGCATATACAAACAAAAATCTACTTTTCTTCAACGCAAAGTTTTATTTTAATTAAAAAAACACAAGTAAAAAAAATAAAATAAGAACAAATAAAAAAAAATTGCAAACAACAGCACAAATAAATGCAATAGAATAAAGAGAGCTACGCAACTAAGTTTTTCAGGTTAAGTAAGTTTTTATTCAGGTAAGAAATACTACAGAAATTACAGTAATCAAATGTAAAATAACACATCCAGTGTTATTTTACATTTGATTAATTTAATGTCTGTAGTCTTCATAGTAAAAATTAAAAACAGATTAATGCTTACCATTAAAGTTATAAAACGTATTCAGTCAAGAGCAGAAAGTGGTTTTCTTTGTCTTTTGTTCTTTGATTAAAATGACAGACAGCAGCAGGAATATTGGACTGCGGTCCCTTTAAGAGTTTATCAACGCACCCAATATAGTGTTACACAACGTGTTCTCTTTCTCAATTATTTAACTTTCCAAATCTGCCTGTGTTCAACTGGATACTCGCCAAGACGGGCATTTTGACAATTTTGTATGTATTTGAACGTTTTAGCATAGTTAGCCACTCATTTTGGTATTTGTGGCTCACAAGCTGTTTGAGACTGAGCGCGGCTTGTGCGCTCCACTAATAATATAGATCAGTGGTGGTGCGCACACGTTTGGTGTAAGCGCGAAACCTGCGGGAATGACTAAAATAATGTGCAATACAAGCACTATTTAACCGGAGCGAGAGAAGAGAGCGAGAATGTGTGGCTGACGTTATTGCCTGTGTCGCTGGTAACAAAACGGATCGGCTCGGAATCGGAAAAAGAAGTGAGACTGACCGGCCGGTCACCGATCCGGGCCGATCATGAGGAAAATTGCCCGATTCCGATCCCTGGCCAATCGATCGGTGCATCTCTACATTAAATAGATAATGAAGATCAAAACACATCAGAGAAGTATGGAAGCCCGTTTCCACCACTGAATAAAAAAAAAAAAAAAAAAAAAGGAAATTG